CCTTCCTCTCTGCATTTCTTCCCGGTATCCGACTTTCCCACTCCCCTCAGGGTTTTGGTCACCGTCCCCCGACGAACCTAGTTTAAAGCCCTCCTCACTAGGTTTGCAAGCCTGCCCAGGAAGATGCTCCTTCCTCTCTTTGTTTGGTGTATCCCATCTCTTCTTAACAATCCTTGTGCCCGGAACAGTCCCATGGTCGAAGAAACCAAAGCTCTCTCTGCAACACCACCTGCGCAACCACGCATTTACGTCCTCAATTCGACGATCCCTGCCCAGTCCTTTCCCTTCAACAGGGAGGATGGATGAGAACACCACTTGCGCTCCGAGTTCTTGGATCCTTCTTCCCAGCGCTACATAATCCGCAGTAACCCACTCAAGGTCATTCTTGGCCGTATCATTAGTTCCCACGTGGAGAAGCAGGAAGGGGTAGTGATCTGAAGGTTTGATTAGTTTGGTAAGCCTCTCAGTGACATCCTGAATGCGAGCTCCCGGTAAGCAGCACACCTCTTGAGATTCCAGGTCCGGATGGCAGAGGGATGGCTTAGTCCCTCTTGGGAGGGAGTCCCCGACCACCACCACCGTCGGTTTTTTTGCGGGGTGGTGGCCGTGGAACCTCCATCTCTAGGACTACGCGTCCCATGCCTTCCAGTAGATGGTGTTCCCTTCCGGTTTCTTCCTTGTGAGGTCCCTTCCAGAGCTTTCAGCAATGCAGAGCCTGTGGAGAGATCCTGAAAGCGATTGCTTACCTCTATAGCATCGGGGGATTCCCATGCTGGCCTTTTTCCCCTTCTAGAAGTTACATGCTGCCAGTTCTCTTCCTGGTCCCGTATTGCCCTCTCTGGCTCTTCTGCCTGCCGTGCTTGAAAGATTAAATGCTGCCTTCTATCAAGGAAGTCTTTATCCTCTCTGATGGAGCGTAGGGTCGACACTTGGGCCTCCAGTCCTCTAATTTTTTCTTCCAAAATGGCGACCAGCTTGCACTTAGTGCAGATGAAATCCGTTCTTTCTTCCGGGAGGAAGACAAACATGGCACACTCCATGCAGGTAACAACAGCAGACCTATCACCATCCATCACTGTTGTCCTGTTCACAAGATATTCTCTGTCTTTTTCTCTACCCCTTTTTAAATGACTCCTAACATTCTGTTTGCTTTTTTGACTGCCTCTGCACATTGAGTGGATGTTTTCAGAGAACTATCCACATTGACTCCAAGATCTTTCTCTTGAGTAGTTGTAGCTAAATTAGTCCCCATCATGTTGTATATATAGGTGGGATTATTTTTTCCAATGTACATTACTTTACATTTATCAGCATTAAATTTCATTTTCCCTTTTGATGACCAATCACTTAGTTTGGTAAGATCTTTTTGAAGCTCTCCTAATACCATCCTATTAAATGGTACTTAATAAAGGCATGTTGGAGACCATGAATGTGCATCGAGTTTTTCTGCTGATGGCAAGATTCCCAGCTGGGCATGCTGAGGAGGGTGGTGTAGGGTTTTCAGAGGCTCTCAGATTCTGTACCCATTCCTGGAAAATCTATAGTTTAGGTCACTTCTTTTTAAGTGGAGAAAAACATTCATTTATGTACCAGTATGTGGCCTTTGTGTCCTGACTTAATATGGAGAGAGGCCTCCTAGAAGAGTTGATCCATTTTCTGTAGCTGTAGAAGCAAAGATAACAAGGTTTTGCCCTTCCTCCAGCCAACTTTCATCTAAACTAACAGACAGTTGTGAGGAACCATTTGTGCTGGTCTTGTATACGTGGTAGGAGCATATGATCCGGAGTATGAAAAGAGGCTTCAGTTAGCAGATTATTTCACCAACTAAACACAAGACACCCCACTCTTCACTGGAAAATTGCCCCTGCACAAAGTGTTTTTGCTAATATTAATGTTGGTACCATTTCAAATTGACAGGGAGAAAAACTAGACGATCTCATAAATCCTGCTGAGCTTGACAAAGATGTCAGATTGCCACCTGATAAAGCTCAAGCTCCTAATGATAACAACCATCAACTGGAGAGGAAGTGTATGTGGATAGGGCTTTCAGGAGAGAATGCCAGGGATAGACACTGATCCACTGTTAATATAGTGTTATCTAGGGGCTCTTTGGCTTTAATGAAGGGGGAAGCTTTGATCAGAATTCTTTCTTAAAATAAAACAAGCAAAAAAAAAAAAGATTTAGAGTTATATGCTACCAAGATTAATGCTGACTGCCAAATTTTAGTAAAGGTCTTCTTTGGTCCCATTTGCTGGTATTAGGAGTCCATAGAGACAATGTCTTTTCACATATAAAAGATGCTATTGATTTCCTGTTACTATTATCCTGAAATGTACACTGAATGTCTATGGAGCAGTGACAGTCCTCCATCACTAGCTTTATGGGAAAAGAATGGTTATTGAATCTCTTCCCATAAAATAGAGTATCTTTTTTCCCCAAAATTTGCCAGGCCTCTTGAGAATCTTTCACATTTTCTCTTTGAGCAAATTGATTTTTCATTTTCACTTTTTAGGCCTATATATTTTTTTAAAATATGTGATATGAAATCGTCTTTTCTAACCTTAAGTAAAGTTTAAAATCAATGAGTAATCCTGTGGCACCTTAGAGACTAACAAAAATATATAGAATCATGAGTTTCATAAAACCCACCTCATCAGATGAATTGGACTAGAAATACGTATCTATAAAATGTGATGGAGTGGACAAAGCCCCAACACCCCCTACAGGAAGCCAGAGGCCTTGCCACACCCAGTCCCAGCCAGAGGAGCAGAAGAAAGGTCCTCCAGGCAGAAGAGAGTGGCTGTCTCTGCAGCAGCCAATCAGGGCCCAGCAGACCAGTGGACGATGACTGGCCACGAGCTTAATAGCACTGTAAACAGGGCTAGTCAGAGCCTAGTCTCAGAACCTTGAAAGACCACCAGACAGGGCAGCATCCAGGGGAAGTGACCCTGGGAGCAAGGGTACCAGACGGCCAGGCAAACAGCTTACGTGGCACCTCTTTGCCACAGCGGGGCACTCACAAGTGGGTGGACCCCGTTACAATAGAATATAAATAAAATCGCAGAAGTACTGTCAATTGAAGGACCCATACTAAATTGGAGTGGAAATAACAGACAGCTATATGTGTGAATATAAAATGTGCATGTTAGAGGCAGGAGAAATTGAGTTTGGAATGCGCCAAACAGTTAGGGTCTTTATGCAAACCCATAATTGGGTAGTGACATTCCTTTGTAGAAGAATGGCTACTTTTAAATCCATGAGTGAGTGACCAGGCAGGTAAAAATGTTCCCTTACATTAAATTAGACATCAGAAATGGTAACACACAACAAACCTGTGTAGGGGAACATTTTAACCTGCCTGGTCATTCCATCATGGATTTAAAAGTAGCCTACAAAGGAATTTCACTACCCAAATACAGAGAGTCTGCAGATCTAGAATTCATCTTCAAATGTGAGACTGTTAGCCTGGGCTTGAATAAAGACATTAACTGGTCAGTGCATTACAAAGCCAATTTTTCCGGTCTTTAACGTCCGCATTTTCATATCAAAAGCTATGAACAGGACATATCCATCCCACCATTTAATTATCCTTATTAACATGGTTCCTTCAATTGACAGTACAGGCTGCCCCCAACTTGCGACACGATCGGTTCCTGGGATAGTGTCACAAGCTGGGGGTGTCATAACTTGAACTCGCATTTACGATAGGCGCTGTGCACCATCGTAAATGCGGGCTGGGGACCTAAGTCAGGGTTTTTTGGCCCCTTCCGCACTTAAATAGCTGTAAGTGTGGAGGGTTACAATTCGGGCTATCATAAGGCCGGGGTTTCCTGTACTACTTCTGTTTATAATATATATATGTGTATGTATGTCTTGTTTTCTGTTATTTCCACTGCAATTCATCTGATTACGTGAGTTTTACCCACGAAAGCTGGTGCTTCTATATATTTGTCAATCTCTAAGGACTGGTCATTGTTTTTAAAGTTACAGACTAACACGGCAACCCCTATGAAACTTTTTAAGTAAAGTTTGTTTTTCTGAATCTTCTCTTATTGCTTCTGTCTCATATAGAAATAAAGTATGATTTTAAAAAGAAAATACATTTGCATGTCACATGTTAAGAACATAAGAACGGCCATAATGGGTCAGACTAAAGGTCCATCTAGCCCAGTGTCCCGTCTGTTGACAGTGCCAAAGCCAGATGCCCCAGAGGGAGTGAACAGAACAGTGAATCATTAAGTGATCCATCCCTTGTGGCCCATTCCCAGCCTCTGACAGAGGCTAGGGATACTATTCCTACCCATCCTGGGTAATAAGTATTGATGGACATATCCTCCATTAATTTATCTAGATCTTTTTTGAACCCTGTTAAAGTCCTGGTCTTAACAACATCCTCTGGCAAGGAGTTCCACAGGTTGTGTGTGCACTGCGTGAAGAAAAACTTCCTTGTGTTTGTTTTAACCTGCTGCCTATTAATGTTATTTGGTGACCCCTAGTTCTTATGTTATGAGAACAAGTAAATAACTTTTCCTTTTTCACTTTCTCCATTCCTGTCATGACTTTATAGACCTGTATCATATCCCCCCCCCCCTTAGTCTTCTCTTTTCTAAGATGAAAAGTCCCAGTCTTTTTAATCTCTCTTCATATGGAACCCATTCCAAACCCCTAAACTTTTTTGTTGCCCTTTTCTGAACCATTCCTAATACCAATATATCTTTTTTCAGATGAGGCGACCACACCGGCAAGTAGTATTCAAAATGTGGGCTTACCATCGTTTTATATAGAGGCAATAAGATGTTCTCTGTCTTATTCTCTGTCCCCTTTTAAATGATTCCTAACATTCCGTTTGCTTTTTTGACTGCCGCTGCACACTGAGTGGATGTTTTCAGAGAACTATCCACAATGTCTCCAAGATCTGTCTCTTGAGTAGTTGTAGTTAAATTAGTCCCCATCAAATTGTATGTATAGTTGGGATTATTTTTTCCAATGTGCATTAATTTGCATTTATCAACATTAAATTTCATTTGCCATTTTGTTGCTCAATCACTTAGTTTGGTGAGATCTTTTTGAAGCTCTTCACAGTCTTCTTTTGTCTTAACTGTCTTGAGCAGTTTAGTATCATCTGCAAATTTTGCCAACTCACTCTTAACCCTTTCTGCAGTTCATATAGAAATAGGTGGAATAGGATTGGTCCCAGTAAGGATCCTTGGGGGACACCACTAGTTTTCTCTCTTGATTCTGAAAATTGACCATTTATTCCTACTCTTTCGCTACAGCTACACTATGAACTTTTTCTGGAGGAGAAAATGCAAATGGCACATTCATTTGTATATCTCGTGCTCTCATTTGCATATCTGCTTCCAAGCCTTTTTGCAGAAAAGGTTTTTGCAAGATCCCTTCTTCCTTGAGAGATCATGCGCAAAAGGGGGATTTTGCGAAAAAAGGCGCCATTTACACAGTGCTTTTTTGCGCAAAAACCTCTTCCGCAAAAAGGATCGGAAGAGAATATTCAAATGAAGCGTGAGAAGTTGCTAGTGAGTGCTTCATTTGCATTGCCTCTACCGCAAAAAAGAGGCAGTGTAGATGTAGCATAAGTGGCAGAATAGATAGGGTATTCTGGAAAAAAAACTGTAGGATTTCCAAAGTTTATGACAATTTACTTTCCATAAGAGCCTTTGGTGAGGAACCTTGTCACCAAATGTTTTCATTTCTTTGTGCAAGACACAGACCCTGATGACTCTCTCCTTCCAGGCAGCTACCAGAGGATGTTGGCAGCATTTTCAGTTGTATGCTGGTATATATTGAGTTGGTGCCTGGCACATAAGCAGCACAGGCTGATTGGAGAATATCAGCTGAATAGCTCTGTAACTGAGGACACATCTAGAAAAAAGAGCAGATCAGGGCAGGATGATCTTCAAGTTTGAAAAGCCAAATGAAGTGAAACGTTATTGCCACGGTTTGTGTTCCTCTGTGTTGCAGATGGAAGATAACGGGATGAAACAACTGCACGAATTGGTATGTGACCAAAGCCCGAGATGGAAGCTCTCCTGAAGGAAGGAGGAGCAGGAAGGAAGGGAAAAGGTAGAATTAACTGAGCTCCCTGTGGAATGCTGGACAATTCACCTGCCCCTCCCTCGGGCCAGACACTGTAGTCACTTTCCTACCTCAGGCAGGTTGGGCATAGCTCAGTCCACAGATCACAGTAGCTCTTGCTCTTGCATTTCCGCTGCTCTTCAGGTGAGATGCTTCCACTCAAATGATGAAGAACGAGACCTCTTCAGTTCCATATTAGGTCATGTTGGTGCCCCTGCCCCTGATCTGCAGCCCTCCTTACTACTGGATCTGCACATGGCTCCACCAAAACGTTCTAATCCTGAATGAGCAGAACGCCTGCTATTCTGATCCTCGGATTCACATGCTCCTACTTCTCTGATAATGCACCTACAGCATCTTCTAATTTCAGTCCTGGCCCTTTCCTCAGTAGGCTGACAAGCATGACATTGCCTAGTGACATTTTGTAATGGGAACAAAACTGTAACTAGTCAATGAGGCCAACAAACTCATTTCACTTGATGCAATGGAAGCCTCCAGAGGTAAAAGGTTAGTGCACTACTCCACTGTGCCATTGTCAGGCTTAGTAATATGTACTTGCTAAACTCAGTATAAAATGTTTGAACTTGGCTGAAAACAGCAGTAAAAATTACCTTTTTTGTCTCACCCACTTTTTTTCTGAATGTTTTATGTAAATATTTTTCAGATGCCCAATGGAAAAGTTTATTTGCCATTTCATTCTGATAAATTATCTTTATAATTGAGGCATGATGGTCTGCTTAGGGATTAGGAAATAAGAAGCAGATTTAATTGTACATGCAGAGGATCCAATAGTGGAAAGACCTTCATAATGGGCAACCAATGCCAACAGAAATAACTCAGGCTACTGATAGGAAGCAAGAAATCCTTATTAGTAATGTAGTACTCCGTGGAATATTTTCATGCTTGTTTATGGAAGAATGATTCTCATCCCATTAAAGTGAAAAGCAAACATTTTCCTTGAAAATATTCCAGGTGTGTAATAATTATCTGATTCTGTGACCCTGTGTCTCGTCTCTTCCTGGCAAGACAAAGGGGAATTTCTGTGGTAAGCAAAAGGTATGGGGAGCAAGACAGGCAAATTGAGGAGTGAAAGGCTTGGTATGTATTAATACAGGCAGTAAGGATTCAGTCTGCAAGTAGAACTTTTTTTCAAATCAGAGAATCTTAGAGTTAAGCTGCTAATACCAGCAGTAACTTTTCCTTTTGTGAAACTATTTTCAGCCAGAGCATTGCATGAAGAGGGATGAGAGGAGACTACAGTCACTTCTAAGTTCTCCTTTCAGCATCAATTTTTTCCTAAAAAGAGATTGCTAATGCAGTTTTGACTATGTCAGAGGTAGTTTCTTCAGCTTTAGTGTTACCAGCAAGTCTGAAAAATCCAATAGCTCAATATGCACACAAGGTATCTGTAAGGGAATTGTTGGCCTTTTGGTGACCTCTGGCACCTGAGACTTTGCTGATTTAGTAGTTTCCCATGAAAGTGCAATTTTTGCTGCAGTGTGGTGTAAGCTAGTAAACCCATCAAGTGTCTTGAACATTTCAGCTGAATGGATTGACAGCCATAAAATGCATACTGGAATACACACTCTGATCTAGCTCTCTACATTAAAACACTGCATTTAGCGGCAAAAAGCTTTTTTCAGACTCCATATAATTTATAATAAAACCAGCCGCGTATTCTGCTTTGGAAGTGAGGAACATATATTAAAATTAATTGTTATACAGTTCTTATGTTCCATTTATAGCCTATAGGATTTTAGGATGTAGTAATGGGTGAAAATTGGGCATTTGTGTTCAGCTCCACACCTTCCATGGAACATTCAAAATTAGTCAGATTTATTCCTCCAAGGATTTACTGTTTTACCCAATGCGGTAGCACAGATTGCTCCACCCTGGTTAGACATTTTTTTTTTTACTCCATAGGAATATAATCTGAGTATTATTCCACAGTGTATTTTGTTTCCACTTGATAAATTACCTACACATTTTTTGCAGAAAAAGTAACTGCTCCTTACATTAGCTCCTGTTGTTTTGTTTAAGACATTGTGAGCACATCTACATTGTATGGCTATTTTGGGATACCAAAGGCATCCCGAAATAGCTACCCCGCTTTTTCACAAGCTGCCAGTTATTTCAAAATATTTTTCAAAATAACGGGCGCACTATTTTGGCATCCCAATAACCCTTGTTCCATGACGGTTAGGTATGTCTCGAAATAGTGTGTTATTTTGAAATTTGGTGCTGTGTAGATGCGCCAAATTTCAAAATAAGCTATTTCGGAAATAGAGTCAAAATAAAATACACAAATTGCATAGTGCAAATTGTGTATCTTATTTCGAGTTTAGGGTGCTGTATAGACACACCCTGTGATACATGGGAGATAATTAACTTGCACCATTTTAGTGCAAAAATATACTTTGATCTAGGTCACATGACGTGGTTAGAGTTTAAAGTACTATTATTTAAAATTATTTTATTTTCAAAATGGTTTATGGAATTATCATAATTTATATAATTCACTGCATAGTAGGAATATATTAAGGGTAAAGTTCAGTTTCACATTTGGTAAACAAGAGCTGAGATTGCAATTGCAATTAAAATAAAAATTGAGTGACAGAAAAAAAATATTAGGAATCTTTACTTGGGGGACTCAATAACTGTGTTGGTTCACATTAGGTTGGAATTCAGAATAGACACTTACACCCTTGATTTATTGTTTTCAGTTATTTTGGTAAAATCCAGTATAAGGCCATTATATTATATCTGAGTTTTAGAGCCTTTTAAACAAGCAAATTATAAATCTCACAAGTCAGGCCATCTCAGTCTTGAACTGCAGGACCTCTACTTTCACAGTACTAGAACAACAAGTGGTGTCTGGAAAAAGAGGAGGAAGTTTTTCAGTATCTGTCATAATTTTGCCAATTAGCACCTTATAGTTTCAAGAAATTTTACTACTTGTGCCACAGGAAATGGAATTTAAGGAAAATATTTGGTGCTTTTGCTGTCAGACAGTGCCAGCTACAGCATCGAGGCATATACAGCAGTATTTGGAATACTCAGATATAGCCATATTTGGCTTCTGAATAAATCACTTGTTCTGGTATCTTTGAGCTTTTAGTGTTGCCAATTCCTTACTGTTCCTTCTGCTCTCTAGCTAGTGGTATTACAAATGACCCTTTGCATAGACATTGCTGTAGCCTACTTTTTTCCAAGATTTTGTCAGTCTTCAGTTCTTGCAGTTTTAAAGAAAGTGTTAAGGAAATCTATATATTATTTGTACTGTCATGCTACCACTTCTCTTCCCTGAGTTAGCAAGAGAATACAGTATTGGGCAGCAGTATGTTGTCGCGCACTTGGATGACACAACCTGATTGATAGCTACTAGAAAAGGAAAACACTTTCATGGTTGTTTAACAGTTGGCTGTCTCTAGTTATTCAGTATTGTGTAGCTCTAGGTTGTCATTTGTTGTAAATTACCTTGCTCAGGCATAGGTGAAACTGTTCAAAGTGCTTGATGTTAGGCTCATATGTAGCCTATGTGTCTCACAAGTATAGACTAAAGAAATGTGAATGACTCATTTGTATACTTTGATCTTAATGTTTAGCCTGATTCCTCTCATCTTCCATAAATGATTTGTCAGACAAAGTTTTAAGATGTTGTGTCTGGAGCTTTCATCTTCCATCACAAATACAAGGTGATTGCTGCCAAGACACATGAGGAGCAGTTAGCCTTTCTCCAACTTGGAACTATTTGTTGTGCCATAAAATGTTCCAAGAAGACATGGACATAGGAGCTTTATAGATGAATAACATTTAATTAAAAAACTTATCCCTATTGTAACCATCATTTCTGGTACTGCAAAGGGAGCCTGGAAATATTTCCTCCAGGAAACTACAGACATTGCTCATTAGCATTGAGAAGTCCCTCAAAGCAGTCTTTCACTTCAGTATTCGAGGTGTTGGCTCCAAATATTAAGTCTTGACAAACTTGCTATGAACCCTGAAGCATTTTTGATGCAGATACAGTAGGTATATTATAGACTAACAAAATATGTAGATGGTATCATGAGCTTTCGTGGGCACAGCCCACTTCTTCAGATAACCGGTTATGAGTATCCCCTACTCATAACTCCAGTCATCTGAAGTGGACTGTGCCCGCGAAAGCTCATGATACCATCTACATGTTTTGTTAGTCTATAAAGTGCTACCAGACTATTTGTTGTTTTTTTTTCTGTAACAGACTAACTCAGCTATCCCCTGAAGCAATAGGAATATTGCCACTGAACATGCCAATTTGAAAATGTGAATTTGTGGGTACGCTTTCTGATATAGTAATACCTGCCCCATAGCCTGCTTCCAACCATACTGTTTCTAAAACTAAAATAAATTACATTTATTTCATAAACTGGCACCTGATTAGCTCGAGTGAAAAATAAGTCTTTGTTTGTAATGAGGGCCAGACAGATATAATACAATTTTCTCATCATGGAGAGTGGATAACTGGCCCTCCTGCACCAATGTGCATTGCACAGAACCAAGGGGCTTGATGAGTGATTGGTTTATAATCATTTGGTAAAGGTGGGCTTTTGAATTTAATGCACAAGCAAGAAAAAGTTAGAAGTCCACAGAATTAGAAGTCAGACATTTTTCTCCAAATGCCATTGCACCAATTACGCCTGCCAAGGAGAAAACAGCATCTTCAGCATTTCTTAGTCATTGTTCCCTGTGTAGACCTTATTTTTAATGGGAATGCCTGCATGACCACTAGGGATGAAATTCTCAGAAAAATGCTGTCATTGGTTGGGGTATAATAGCCCTAAGAATCTAGTTCAGTAAACACAGGGTTCTTGTGTGCTATAGCTTTGCAATGAAGTGCACACTTTGGGATTAATTAAATTCTTTTCTAGCTGCATGCCACTGTAACCTTTCTTTTATGCATTTTAG